TCAGGAAGTCGATCTTGACGGCGAAGTATTCAAGTAGGTCATCCCAGTTATGGTCCGAGGGAGAGCGATAAAGGCAGCAAACAAATTTGGGGGATGTTTTGGAGTTGAGGCGAAGTCACAGAATGTCCTTCCGCTCTGATTCCAAAGAGACATCTCTGGCGCAGGAAAGACTGCTGCGGACAAAAGCCACAACTCCCCCGTTCTTTCTCAGATTGGAGTGTATCCCGTAATTTGGGAAGCTTAGGTTAATCGGTGCAAACTCTGAGATTTTTGTCGTGAAACAAATTTTATCTTCGGTGTTTTTCCCTCGAGTTCACCCTCCACAGGGACATTCCGAGAGTGGAGAGAGTTTACGTCCTGAATTCTTAGTACTCGAGGGATCCATCATCATTATTAATTTCTTTGTTGGAGGAGATAGATAAATAACCGACTGCGTTGCTTAGGTGTAGAAACATGCGGACATTTATGTCACCCTTGGGAAAAGCTAGCGGGTGGTACCGCTTCGGTCGACTGGTCCTTGTCTGCCATATTCGTTTTGCGTGTTAATGATGTTAAATAGTCTTAAAGTGGCCCGTTGTCGGATCGGTACCGGCACCCTGCAATCGGTAATGAGGTATTCCTTAACGCGTGTACAATCACTTGAACGTGAAGAAGTTGAATACTGAATACAATAACTTCCCGAGCAAGCATTTGCCACAGCCCCGCTCGGTAGGGAGTAGTAAGATAAGAATGAAACAGAAGTCAGATACTCGTAAATTTAGTTATTAGACTTCGTGACACAGATGGATAGGACACAATGGGCCCATTTCTTGGCGTCCTGGTTCCCCGGATTTAGCAGCTTGGGATTTTTTTCTGTGGGACTATTTGAAAGAGTTGGTGTATCATGATGGAGCAATAAATACTCTGAAAGAACTCCAACAGCGCACTAAAAATGTTTGGGATTTAATTCGTGGACACCAGGGTTTTATTTTCGAGCTTGTAAAGAGTCGTGGATTCACCGAGCAAGAATGGGGACAATTTTGAATAGTTTTTGTAAAAATTTTTGGTATATCAACCTCTTTTGACGAGTTCTAAAAGCTGTTAAAATAAATGACTCAACTCTGAAAACATTCTGTATAATCATATTTTCCACAAACTTTCATATTCTAATTATCAATGTTATGGAAATGTGATTAGATATTCCTGTATTATGATCCTTATGAAAAATCTGGTAACTCTAGTCACCTTGCAGTCGTGAAGGATAGCTATTATTTCTCTTTGAGAAGAATTTGTTTTCATCACTAATTTTAACAATTTTTCCATGCACATGCTACAGAAGACCTTCACCAGGAATGAAAATATTTTAACCATAAATATTATTGATATGTTCATACAATATAAAATTCAGATATGTAGGACTTACGTTTGAATATCGCGCCTACTTTATATATTCCGAATCTAATTTATGCTCTCTGCTACGGCAACATTGTAAGCCCTATTGGGTTGTTGACGTTCAAGTCAACACCGCATGAATGTCACTTTTCCTTTATTGCTCTATGATTTTTGAGTTCTGAGACGAGATGTTAGTTATGTTTTGTGGATATGACGTGTGGCGTTTGAATTTATGAAATTTGAAGAATGAATCCTGTTTCATCGAGCTCCTACCCGTAATTTCATTCCGTTTCGACCAGCCCCTACAGATAAAAATATATTTTAAAGTATAGATTTGTTTTACTGTTCTAAAATTTCAAATAACTTTAGGATATATGGATGAATTTATAATGGCCTGCGTTATTGGCTATACTGCTTTAACAGATGAGTGACTACTTTGTCAAAACAGCAAAAATTATTAATAACACATGACGTTATAAAATCTTTCATATTATTATATCATTAGAAATGCGCACTATAAGATTATACAACAGTCTCAGATTTATGTAAGGAGGCGGCAATGTCGCATGTGGCGCTTGTGCACAATCTGGCAACCATGTGAGATCCAGAAAAAAAAATGGCGCTTGACACTGACATAAATCAAGTGTGTTGCCCTATGCTTTGTGTTCTTCAGCATATATGTTCTGTGGACGGAATCAATTTGGACGTCATGACGTCACTTCCCAATTTTCATTTGCATTTGTTTAAGTGTTTTGCAACGATTTCGCTACGGGTAGTCTCATGAAGCCTAGTAGAAGAGTATATTCCGACGTTATCTTGCGTGGGCAGGTTTGCTCCACTGTACGACTGCACTCGGACCAATTAACGCGGTCATCGTCACCACTATGTATATCTATCTGGAATCTCATGGGTGCGGCCCAGTGATGCCAACTCGTGGAGGAAATTTTGAGGTCTGAGGGAAAATCTTTTATTCGTGGGAATTTTCTGTCGGCTACATATTGCATAAATAAAATTACGCAAAAAACATCACATTATCATTTAATTGAGTATCAAACCGGCAAACCAGTAACTTCTCGAGCATGTAAATTTCATGCGGAATTGGTGGGAATAGTGCGAATTTAATTCGAATTTGGTACTTGATTTTGTACCTTTTTCTTATGACCTATGGTGAATGTGCCAGTAACCCGGACACTACTACTAGTCGGACAATTGGTTTATTGGTAAAAAGTTGAATATTAGAAATCCTTTACTTGCTGGTAATTGGTACCAGATTTATCAACTACTTCTCTCTTGGAATTAAACAAACCACTGGCTGGAGCCCCAGCCAGTGGACGTGCAACGAAAGATAACAAATAATGTGAATTATGGCCAGTGATATTGTGTCCGACTACTGTAATGAATGAATTTGTCATACTCGTAGCATCCCAATAGCCGGCCACTTCCATTGCCTCGCCATCTTTTCATGAGACTTTAAAATAAAATTTCACATTTCAACTTCATTCGGGAATGGATACCAAGGAAAAAATAGATTCTGTGTATATAGGCAGCTTAAAGGAGACAGTTGAAGCTGTGAGAAATGTTGGGAAATTGTTTGAAATATGTAAACAGTATGGTAGTTCAAAGTCGACAGCGCAGGACCGTGATTAAAGGAACAAATTAGTTTCTTGTTTATTTTTATCTAGTTTATACAGCGTCATTCACTAGTCGTGACCAAAAATGAAACATCATACACAGGACCGCATTTTAAGGGAGGTCTTTTTAATATATTCAAAACCGTCAACTGGAATGAACTAAAATTTGCTATGTGAATTTACCTAAGTATTGTCCACATTCAAAAATATTTTCTTGAAATTAACGTGTATAAGTGCCGGAGATGCAGTGGATTAGACGCCAACCTACCCCAAAGGTTTTTACGCGTTTATTTCGAAGACTTCGGCAATATGGAATTGCCAAAATTCCCGGAGTTAGAGGCCATGCTGTCCGGCACACTGTTAAAGAGCAACAGGAAGTGATTAATTTGGCGTGGGATGATCCTAAGTACAAGTACTAGGCGAATTGCAGCCTAGTTACCATGTTCAGAAAGTCTTGCGTGGAGAATTTTAAATCGGTACAATGTGCAATGTCTGATGCAGCCCGGCGACGAAGTGCAACGGCGAAATTTTGTAAGTGGTTACTACAAATGCATAATCAAAATGCAGATTTGATTGATGTTCTGTAAGAATCCGCTCGTTTCAACACAGATTTTCGAAAAATGTCTGGTGCAGCATTTTCAATGGCCAACTGTTTATGCACTTATTGCCACAACGTTTAAATGCAATCTCATACTTAGCTTTTCTAGAGAATTACATAGAAAATGTGTTAGATGATGTTCGTCGTGACATTGGCCTGCGAGGTCTCCTGATTTGACCCCCCTGGATTTCTTGTTGTGGGACGCATTTGAACAACTCGTATATATGTACTGAACAAATTCAAACTCTTGATCAGTTACAAGAAAGAATAGATAATGCGTTTCATCAAATTCAAGCCACAACAAATTTTGCGGAAATACGTCTTTCTTTATTGAAAAGATGCCGCACTTGTATCCGTCAGAATGGTGTTTTTTTTATCATTTATTGAAATAAAGCTATGATTTTATACATATATATTTTTTCGTTTTTACGAAAACAATGCACTGTAGGAAAAAACACAAGAGTAATTATTTGTAGCAAATTGAAGGTAATATTCAAAAAATTTCGAAAAAAACAACAGTGGCGTACTATTTTTAGTTGGAAAAATAGTGCAACTAATCCCCTGTATCTCCGCCACTAAATTTTTAGTAAAGACTTTTGAATGTGTGTGTGTGTACTTAGGTAAATCCACATACCAAATTTTAGTTCATTCCAGTTGACGGTTTTGAAGATATTAAAAAAAATTGGTTTTTATTTGATCACTTCAACACCCCGTATCTTTTTAATGAAGCCCTCGGGGAAAAGATGTTACATAGAAGACCCCCTTAAAATGCGGTCCTGTATATGATGTTTCAGTTTTGGTCACGACTTGTGAATCACCCTGTATTTATGTTTTATAAAAATATCTATATTAAAAAAATGGACTCAGTATGAGTGTTTTTAAGTTCTTTTCCTCAGTGTTTTAATGACAACTGATTTGAAATTTCTATTCTACTATCACAAATTTCCGAGTACTGACAAAATAGCACCTTTTTGATTAATAGTGTTTTATAAAATTACAGGAATATATATAAAAGCATTGCATTTGTTGTCAGCGAAAAGTTAACAACATATATGATCACCTCCAAAAGCATTAGTTGTGTTATCTGGAACACAAAATTCGTAATTAAACTTTGTATTCCAGTTTTGTCTAGACTGTCCGACCACTGGCATATTCACCCTATAAAAATCTCCAATACACCAATATTATTTTAATAATCTTTACTATTACGATTGATCGACAATAATTTGATTCTATTTGTATCAAATTATTATGATGACCATTCTGGAAGGCTCAGTTAGGCATATCGACAAATAAATATTATAAAATAGGGTGATTTTGCTTTTTATAGATTCATGGGATTTTTTTTGAAAAAGGGAGTTTTTCATCGAACTCGTGGGAAATTTAACGTTGAAAGGCTGGCAACACTGGTTCCGTTGCGGCTAATTATTACAACGACTACAACTGTTTTGTGTCACTCTGTCAGAGAGAAGTTTTGGTTTTTGGTTATGGGTGTGTGAAGATCGGCTTTTAATACAATAGCTAATAGCGCTAATATTGTTTACAAGATAGATTTTGTGGTGTGGTGTCTTCAGTCTTATGTGAATTTTCCAATACGGAGTGTAGGTGTTATAGCCAAAAGGCAAAAATCTGAGGTTTCCCAACTAGCCCACTATCTTGTAGTAAGTACCCTGCACTGAAAGGAATAACTTTTGATTCATAACAAGCATATATTTTTTTACATTACAGCTTAAATAGATGTGTAGGCTTGTAGGTACTTAAGCAGCCAGTTCATATTGGGTGAGGTCAGATACGTCATTTTTGATGGATTGTTGACAATTTGACGTAGGGTAGGATTTGCGAATCAGCAGCAGTTTTAAGTCGGTTTAAAGTCATGTAGGGCCCCTTGGACCCGCAAGAACAGGGAGAATGCGGCTTAATGGACTTCAAGGCAAAGCGAAATCCGGAGCCTCATTTAACCCGTTACGACATTTTTATACCATTTTATTTTTGGGCATTTGAACCCCCCCATCGGTGGTTCGACATGTGTCCCTTATGTTCATAGGGTAAAAATGGATTAGGCAATCAGCAAACGAACGGCTGCTCACCAATAACTTAACCACGCCTCATTTTTTTTTTACTTACACCTACCCCCAATACAAAATTTTTATTAAATCATCTTGCAGAATTGACTTAACAGGTGAACCATGTTTAAACTGCTTTAAACTTTAAACAAGGAATAAAATTGTTCGATAAACATCAGCAACTGTCAGACTTTCGCCAACAACCTCTAGTCACAAAGACTGGAGATAGGTGGTTAAACTGGGTGAGGGATACATGTAAAGTCTTTTTCACAAGTATCCACTACAGTAGTATAGGAGAAGACAATGATAATGTACTACCCTGTACCTTTCCACTTTTATTACGATAGCAGTACATCAACAACTTAACAAAGACTTCAATGTCAGGATAATTTTAAAGCCACTTCTTGGTGACATAATGGCAGGGACTCCCCTGGCAAGAGGTAGGGTCGATAGAACTGGGTTGTCAGGGCCAAACCAATTTTTAGGATAAACCTAAGTGCCTTCGATATTCTACCAGCTCATGACATGCGCATCTCTACTGTTTATTCATTATGTTAGTTAGCTGTTTTAATACTGATCATAAAACAATACAATGGCCATGATATGACTCTATACAAGTTCTATAATGATAAAACATGTGAAAAAACTTTTTTTTACTCTCTTAGAACCTAGAGATATTCACTGCATCATTAAATATTTCAAATCAGAGGCAAAGGTTGCTGATTATTTGAGTATTTTGATGATCAAGCTCATTTTGCCTGTAACACCTGAATATCATGCATATTATTATCAGTTGAGAATGGATACTTTCCCGAAGTATGGTAAAAAAAACATAGTAGTTCCTGTACCTAAAATTGACATCCAGATGACTTTTTTGACTTGTGGCTTATTAGTCTGTTGTCAGTTATTTCAAAACTTTTATAAAAAACTGTTCAGTACCTAGTTTTGAAATGTGTTGGGAAAAATAATATACTGACAACAAACCAATACGGTTTCTGCAAGCATGACAGCACTACCTCTTCTTTATTAATCATTTGTGATAATATCTCCAGAGTTTTAGACAAGAAGCTGGGTGTTGTTCTTGTGTCTGTTGATTATTCTAAAGCTTTCGATGACACCAACCATAGCTTGTTGCTTACCTAGCTAAGGTACTATGGCTTCAATCAGAAAGCAAATAGTTTTCCAGAAGTTACCTAGAAAATTGTTTCTTTAAGCATATCCAAAACATCAAATTTTCAGAACAAATTACGTCTGGTGTACCAACAATCAGTACTTGGGCCGCTACTTTTTCTTTTATATATTTCTGACTTGCCCTGAAATGTCAACAACTCAGAGATACAATCATTTTTTGATGATACACAGCTCCTAGGCTGCTTTAATATATGTAGATAATATCTATGATGCTCAAAAAAATGTAAACTCTGATATTAAAAGGCTCTATAAATTTTTAAAATCACACAATCTTGCCATATATGCATCAAAGTCTAATGTACAAAATTATTAGGAGTTACTGTCGACCACAGACTTAGGTTCACAGACCACATAATGAATCTCCTAAAGAAGTCATACCTATGACTCTGTGCTTATATGCTAATAAGTTTATCCTGAACTTCAAAGTGAGGAAAAAACCCTGCAAGTCACTTGTAATACTAGTTCTTACTTACTGTAATATTTTATTTTATTCTTGCCTGGATGGCATAGCAAAGAACAGACTGCAGGTTGTTCAGAACAGTTGTGTAAGGTTTATCTTTGGTCTGAGGTGATTTGATCATATCTCAAATAAGTTTGCTTCTTTGTGCTGGTTGAAAATGCCCTATTATATACTTTGTATACCTATCCACACTAGTGTTTAAGTGTAATAGTCCACAGCTAAACTTTGCCACTAGTGTTAGATCTGATGTACGTGAATGTACTTAATTAAGACGAGTTTATTATTATATTTCTCGATTATATTATCAGATATTAAAACACATTGCATGAGGGAACAGTAGCATCCTATCCCATGTCATGCCCAATATGGATACCTTGATAATCTGGTGCTTAGAAAGATATGCCATATTTTTTATTGTTATGAAAGACATCCCAAAACAGGATATGACGTTACCATGTCAATACCCAAAAGCTCCGATGATACCTCTGATTCAGAGATAACAGAGCAGCATGACAACTTTAAAGTAACAATCCCTATACACATCCTACCATGAGATACTTTAAGACTCCAGCCTTGAGAGAAAGCTGGGCAGTCACGCAGACCTTGTAAGTCTCATAACAGCCTCCAAGATGTGGGGGTGTCACACCTCTGCAGATGTTTGACTCTAAGTTTCGTCTCTCTTTATCCTAAATGTTGATAAACATATCTCATCTGACTGTTTTTGACTTTTGACAATTATTATCGCGATTAGAACATACACATGACATGCAGCACAGCATAATAAAAAAAAATAAAACCTTGCAGTGCAGAAATAGTACACACTCAGCATTAATACTAAATAAAACAAAACAGACACGTTCGAACGATAAAAATACAGACAAATCACACTTAATTACACTAAAATATATATAAAAAAAGAAAGAACATAATCAATATAATTATGTCATTAGAAAGGTTTCTATGCTATAAAAAAGCTTTCCGCTTTATGTATGATAGCAGTGTGGTCTTGAATGTTCAAAAGTCTAACTGACTCAGGAAGAGCATTAAAGAACTTGATACCGTAATAATTATGCCCATCTCTGGATCTGTTGATAAAGTTGGTATAGTTGGTATAGACAAATAATCACAGTATCTAGTACCATAGTTGTGGAACCTGAGGATCCTGTCATAGCATGGGTAACAGATGCAGCAAAAAATCTAGTGAGAAATTTCAGAGACTCCACAACACTTCTCCACAGTTGCAGAAAACAAATTAAAGAAAATTTACTCTGGTCCTCCATCATCAACCAGGCTCAACAACCAACTTGAACGATTTAGTGAAGTTTCTGCAGCTGAACTTCAAACCATTATAGTCAGTCTGCCAAACAAAAAATCAAGTTTTAATGACGGTATTTCACAAAAGTCTGTAACAAAATTGCATATCTACTCTCAACATGTCTATCTATCAGGGTGTATTTCCTAAACTCTTGAAATTAGCTATATTTATACCTGTTTCAAGAAAGGCCATCCTCAACAAATTGACATCTGGGTGATTTTTCAAATATTGAGTAAATTCAAAGGTAATTTGGTAAATTAAGTAATATAAAATTATCATATAAAAATTACTTGAATCTGTTCAGAAAAAGTGTAGTAGGTATTGTGGAACATTGAACCATATAAGTATTGTCTAATGTTGGATTTATTTGATGTTTTTGGAAAAATAGTGACATGACAAACTTTAATAACGGGAATGGCAATGCACGAAAAAGATGAAACTATATATTTAGGATACATTCAACAATCCTGTTTGAAATAAATCCACTAAAAAGACTGTAAGGCCTTATTCCCAAACTACTTTTTAAAATGGGGTTTGGCATTTTCACAGTTGTTGCATTTTCACATAAGGCGGTATTCACCATATGTGTTGTGATGTTTAGGTATATCATTGGGATTTTTTCACGAAAACTAAATCATTTACATTTAGACTGTGAACAATCATTTCCATATTGGCATGTGTAATACATTTACAAATGTATCTATCACAAATTCTCCTAAGCTTAATATACAAGGTCTCTCCCAAACAGGACAAAAATGAACAAACATTTTTTGTTTTGGAAAGTCGAATTTATTTTATTCCTAATAGTCTCCTTCAGAGTTAATACAGCGATTTGCACGGACTAAACGATTTTCGGATGAGGATTTTAGCTCATTGAGTGGAATGTCCTTCAAAATGGTCGTCGACGCCTTTTGGATAGCTTCTACGTCGGCATACCGCTCTCCCTTCATAGCCAAATGTAGTTTACCGAACAGAAAATAGTCTCACGGTGTCATATGAGGAGAATATGGAGAGTGGTTGATGGTCGAAATGCAATTTTTTGTCAAAAAATCGGACACAAGCGTCGATCAATGAGATTGTGCATTATCGCGCAACAAGCGTCAGCTTCCTTCTTCGCGATATTCTGGCCTAACACGACGAATACGCGACAGCAAACGCCTCGTAACACCAAGATAAAACATAGCATTAACTGTTTGGCCCAGTGGAACGAATTCTTTGTGAATAATTCCCTTCGAATCGTAGAAACAAATCAACATTGAAAAATTGAATGAAAGATGTACCTATACAACGCTAGTCTAGGATAATAGATGACGCTACTTGTATCGGCACGGGTATCGCGTATCTTGAAAAGTGACATTATGCCGATTTTTTTGGCATTATGCTGTTTTTTATGTACATTATGTAGGTTATTCTACAAGATGTTAACTTAGCACTTAGTTGTACGTGTTGCCTAAACGTCATGCGGCTTGTTATCAATCTTTGGCGATGTGATGCAAAATCTGCTTCTGAGATGGCATTACTGGAGGTCTAAGCTGTAAGTTGTATTTGTTGATAATAATTACATTGGGTTCTTGTCTCAAATACACTTAATTTAGATTCAAAGCTGGAAATTAGTTGCGCATCCACTTTTTCTTATCCATTCTGAAAATTACATATACAAATTTGCTGAATTTCAAAAATGCGAGAGATAAGAAATAATTATATTCACTGTACACTGTCGAATTACAAGCCATATACCTGCTAACAGTAACACACAACGCGTGCGCGGTGATGATTTCCCGTAATTCTGCTCAGTTTTTCGTTATTTATAACTTTGAACATAACCTTTCTTCAGGAAGCACAACATAAAAATAACCCGTCGGGCACAGCCATTAGATATACTTCATTGGCAGCATATTCAGTAATGATTTTCTCACACAGCAAATATCACTGATTTTATACACATGCAGACCAATACACATAATCATCCAGATGCGATCTTGCTATTCACAAAACATATGCAACCAATAATGCGTGTAGTTTAGTTGAGTGGTTCATCCTTAGATGGACGTTCACAACGATCCTAGTGAGCAAACGTGGAATGACTGTTTGCGCCCTAAAAACTACCTAATTTTCAAGATGACATCTTATAGATTGTTTTTGACGTTTTATGTTTTTTACATGATACCCATGCGGGTATCTTTCAAAAGTTTTGCGACAGACCTTGTAATGTATTATGATGTGTGTACGTTAGGTATTATGTGATATCTACAGACGTCTACTGTGGACGTTGTTTTATTTACTTGCCTCCATTTTATTGATATTTTGGGGAATATCATTAGTTAATTAGCACCATTAATAGCCTCATTTGTACATATTCAAACAATTCATGTTCAGCGTAAAAGGTGTTGGTTTTGATAAAAGGTTAAAAAACCGACCTGGGTCTATTTTTTCTGCTGTCCCACTAGTTTCATTTGACCTTTATGTATTTTTTTTTTGTCGAAAATTGGTTCATTAGTGACTAAGATAGGTAATGTTGAAGGTTTGGCGTGTTTTGATAGACATATTCGTAAAAAATGAATTTAAATTTTGTTGCTTGTACTGTAGAATATGCATTCAATCTTATTTTCATTCTTTGCAGGTACTGAAATACACCAGCAGAAATGGATCAAATACCTCCTCCGAAGGAAGTGAAGATTCTTGAAACCGCTGAAGATATTCAAGAACGCCGTCAAGAGGTTCTTTCACGCTATGACAATTTCAAGGCCGATGCTAGAGCGAAAAGAGAGAAGCTTGAGGATTCACGAAGGTACACTAAGAAATAGCGTCAAGTAGGTTAACTCTACACTTCCCACGCAACGATGGCATTGTTTTTGTCATCAGTTAGAGAGATGCTAATTAGGAAAATATACAAGGGCTGTTCGATAAGTACTAGAAATGTACTATCGTCTAGTACATTCTCGTAGACGGCTACTGTCAAAGTTTCAGCCGAATGGGTCTCGTAGTTTTGTTTTGACCGTGTGTGGAGGTGGACGTGTCTGCGGAAAAAGAGCGATGTCGGTCGGTGATTCGATTCTTGTTTTTGGAAGGGAAATCGCGCAGTGAAATCAAAGAGTGCTTGAATGTTGCATACGATGAGAGAGAGAGGAGTTAAACGATGCAAATTATATGAGAGTCGGTCGGTACCATGAGAAACTGTCCGTTTAAGGCTTAAAGGAGGTGTCTGTGTAAGAGGGGTGTCTACGAAGGGGAATTTCACTGTACATGTACCCAGCTCTGTCTTTGACCCCGTATATGTACCAGGTAATGTCCCTTGCCTCTAGTGTTCCCTTCGATCTCCTATTTTGGTCTTGCAGTTTTTTTGAAATGTATTTGTGTGGTCCTTTCTTGGGTCCAGTGACTCGCTTCCCACACGTTTTCTTATTTGAGTGTATCCCATTCTTACCTCGCCCATTATTACAAATATGAAACCGTGACAGCCCAGTATAGTAACTAAGGTACTGAATATCTTGCAGGGTGAGCCATAATAAAATTCACTTTTGAATGTAAATGAAAGCAGGATATACCTAGAAGAGTTTGCTAATTTTTATGATATAAAAGGGCATTGGAAATTTATGTTTTGAAAATGATATCATCAAGATGGCCTCCACATCTCCGAGAATACTTTTCCAAACGGAACATTCGCCTGCAAGTTCATCTTCAGATTGCCGACATTTTGCGTCTAATGCTTAGGTTTAATTCGTTGAGGGTTTTTGGATTAGCATTGCAGACACGGCTCTTGAGATATCCCTATAAAAAGAAATCTGGTGGGACAAGTCAGGGCATCGTGGTGGGCAATTAATGTCACCTCCTCTCAATATCACTTTCCAGGGAACATTTCCTGTACGATGCCCGCTCACGTTGAAAGTGTGACAGGTGGCGCTGTCCTGTTGTAACCACGTCATGGAGTTGTATCCGTCAAAATCTTGGAGTCTTAGGGCCAAAAACTTTCTCAGCATTCGAACATAACTTTCTGAGTTAACAGTTACAGATTGCCCGCGATCGTTCTAAAAAAAGTAGGGTGCAAACAAACCGCTAGCTCATAATAGTAGTAGTAGTAGTAGTAGAAAGATTTATTTAGCACATTTGGCTACATAAACAGAATAATTGTTAACAACTTAGAACTAGTAAATTCAAGCCATATGGTGTATGATGTAAATGCTGGGCAACCTGTAATTGTAGATTTAACAAGTGATTTTTCAATTTTACTTTAAATTTTGTCAAAGTTTTCTGGTCTTTTATCTCTGAGTATAATTTATTATACAGGGTCCGGCATTGAAACTTTTTTTTTTCATAGGTAAAAAATAAAAATATATATTGCACATTTTATTCATTTTTGTATTAGCATTAGACAGTAATATGGGAAGTTTGAAATCAAGTTGTTTAAAACAGAATATTTGACAAGTGTCTACCATTACTGTCGATACATTGCTGTAACCGATTTCTGAAGTGTGCGTGGACCCTTTCCAGCATATCATTCGGTATGTTGGCGATCTCGTAACGAATATTGTTTTTCAATTCTTCCAGGGTTGCAGGACGGTTGTTATACACTTTTGATTTGAGGTAGCCCCATAGAAAATAATCACATGGAGCTAGATCTGGCGAGCGTGCGGGCCATGGAATGTCACCTCGGTTGGAGATAAGTCGTCCTGGAAAATTTTGTCTCAAAACAGGCATTGAAAGTCGTGATGTATGGGCTGTGGCCCCATCTTGCTGGAACCATACATCGCCTAAGGCCATATTTTCAAGAGCTGGCAGAAAGAAATTGTTAATCATTGCCACATAACGCTCAGAGTTTACAGTAACTGTGCGATTATCTTCCTCAAAAAAATATGGCCCAATGATCCCCACTCTTGATATCGCAGCCCAAACTGTGACTTTATCCGCATGAAGAGGCCTTTCATGAATTTCTCTGGGGTTATTGCCGCTCCAGTAGCGCATATTTTGTTTGTTGACACAACCTGTGATGTGCAAGTGTGCCTCATCACTGAAAAAGACAACCGCGTCCGGAGGCAAATCATCAACAATCGTTTCGCATGCCCTTTGGCGTGAAACAAAATCAGACTCGGAAAGTTGTTGGGCGACTACCATTTTGTATGGATGAAAGTGAAGATCGTCGTGAAGAATTCGGCGAGTTGAGCGGTCCGATAACCTCAGGACAGCGGCACGTTTCGAAGAAGATCGTCTAGGAGATCGCAAAACCGACTGTCGGACTGCCTCGATATTTGCGGGTGTTCTAACTGTCCCTGTTGCTCCTGGTCTCTTGCGGGACACATTTCCAACTGCTCTAAAAGCCTCCTCCCATGATAAAATGGATAACCGGGCCGGAACAGCACCTCTAGGGGGAATATTGTACCGTAAACGGAACGCACGCTGCACCGCGATGATCGACCGGCCTTGTGAAAAGTAGGTCTCAACGGCGAACGCGCGTTGTTCTCTCGCCCAAAGCATTTTTACGACTGACGACGATGAACAAGCAAACCTCCCCACCAACTCTCTCTGCTAAGCGCGCTTACGCGCTGCAACTAGCTCCAGTCGCGCCACCTTGTATCATTGAAAAAAGAAAGTTTCAGTGCCGGACCCTCTATTCAATCAACCCTTGATGGAATACAGATTTGTAGCATATGTTATACTTTTTGGTCATTAAATGGAAGTCATCTTTATTTCTGGTATTATGTAAATGATGGTCGACATTTGATGATGTTAAATTAGTTAGACTTGATGGAAATATATTATTTTTTACTTTATAAATGAATATCATTACAAGATATTTGATAAATTTTTTTACATTAAGCCATTTTAATTTGCTAAGCATTTGCCTAATTGGAGTATATTTATCTTTATTTAGTATTATTCTGATGCACGACGGCTGCTCCGCACTCCAGTATCGACAGTTTTGCTTGTTCACGAAACCGTTCAAATGAAACTGAGCCTCATCTGAAAAGAGGATCTTTTCCAAATCACAAAACCTCTTAAGCACAAACACTGAAAATTCTAATCTTTTTGTAAGGTCAGTGTCCTGTAATTCTTGGACGATGTGAATCTTATATGAATGAAGTTTCAAGTCTCGCTTCAAAATTCTCTCAAACTCGTACGAGCAATACTCATAGTCGCTGAACGTCTACGAGTTGAGAGCTCTGGATAGATTTGAACAGATTCGCTCACTTGATCCGTTCGACAGCCGGCGGGCGAGCTTGACATTTTGTTGGCAATGTCGAACCGCTTTCTTGAAACCTCAACCATTGCTTCATTAAATTGGTGCTAGGGCACTGATAAATACGCCGCAATCCATATTTGACTCGAAATAAACGTCGCACACTGACATAAGAACGTTTATTATCAAAGAACGCGTGCATCACGTTGTTGTCCCGTGAATTGACTCATGGCTATTGAAAATTCTTGAAGCATGCAATCGAACGGTACCGCCTTCCAGCGTTTCCGTCCGCGTTTTGCGGTTTTATTTAAAGACCAAAGAGAATTTCATTATGGCCCATCCTGTATTACAGTAAAAGTTACAAAGCACCGCTTGCTTGATCAACAATTGCTGTCCGATAATCGTTTACCGTTCAGTTAATTCTTTATGACTTTTCTATTAAAACGAAAAAATCTTTATTGTGTCGGTTTATACTCAAGCATTCATAATTCATATTTTTAAAGTACTTGGCGAGTGGATGTTTCCGTAGCGATCCTAATTATTTTATTGTGCTAATTAATTCATATATTTGTAGATTCCAGTATTTCAAAAGGGATGCCGATGAATTGGAATCTTGGATATTGGAGAAACTTCAGTCAGCTTCAGATGAAAACTATAAAGACCCTACAAATCTACAGGTATGTTGGTAGAATTTAGTTTGAACAATTGAAACCTTATTTCTTGTATACAATAACTATATATATAATACTTTGAAAAGTAATGACCAGCTGAGCTTAGTATATTTATACGCCTCCAACCCAGTAATTCGGTGCACCTATTAGGCATTTTTCCGTACATTTGATTTTAAAATTGTAGAGTATTGTTTTCGATCCGCTTACTCCTGCTTGCTAGGCTCATCGCCCGGCGAACCGGGCCGGCTGACTAACCTATCCGTACTGCAGCGTAGCGATGACGCGCATATGTGGAAATGGACTTCATGTTCGCAAAATCCTAATGTTGTAGATATCAACACGTACGAGCCCCTTCCCACTTCAGTTGGCCCAACTATTGAAATCTTAGTTTTTTTCTTATCAAACACAAATAATGAAAACGTAGCAGGGTGTTATAGGTTTAAAATATTAACAATGAATATTTTGATAATATATAGTAGAAAACACCAACTTTATCACTCCGTAATCAAATTTGCAGCATAAAAATAACACATGTTGCAATTACAGCATATCAACCTATTTTCATTTCAATGCAAAATAAGTCTATAACGCATAGGAGGCTGTGAAAAATAAAAGCCATGACAATTGTTTTTATTAATCATAGCTGTCAGAATACGTTTAAAATAGTTTTGGGTAGTTAAGGTTTTCAAAATGGGTAGAGGAAAGGTAATTAGTGAGAAAATTCGGTTACTGATAATTAAATTTTTTAATTCTGGGAAATCAAACTCAGAAATTGCGGTACAGTGTGAGAAATATTATTAGAAGATATAACGTAACTGATTCAGTTAATATTAAGCCACGATATGTGAAAAAAAGTAATATCACAAATGCCGACCGAAGAGCATTAAGAAGAATAATCGTGAAAAACAGGCGTGCAAATTATTTACAATTAAGTGCTCTGTGGAGTGACGCTATTGGAAGGAGAATTTCGAGGTCCACAACTCATAGAGAGGCCACAAACTGGGATTTAGCACTTGCAAGGTAAGTTTTCTTATAAAAAAAGTGAAGTAAAAACCCTAAAGTTGCACAACTTGTTTATAGGCCAAAAAAAAGCCACTATTAACTCCATTGTAAAAGAAAAATCGGCTTAGATGGGCTAAAGAACATACACAATGGACACCTCAACAATGGTGTGCAATACAATGGAGTGATGAGGCCCGATTCGAAGTTTGTGTTGGTGACAGTCGCAGTAGAGTTATTCGCAAAAAAATGAAGCATTTCATGTTGACTGTCTGAATAGAAAAGTAAAATGTCCAGCATCCATTATGGTCTGAGGCAGTATGTCATCAAAAGGAGTAGGAAAACTTCATTTTATTGATGGAAATGAGGATACAAATAAATATTTGGCAATTTTAGAAGAATCGCTTTTACCAGTGATGGAAGAATTTTGTGTTTCAGCAAGATGGTGCAGCGTGCCATACCTCAAAAAAGGCTATAAAATGGATGGAAGAAAATAATGTACCACTTTTGAAATGGGTTTCTAGCAGTCCAGATCTGTCACCTATTGAAACTTTGTGGCACGAGATGAAAAAGTTTCTACTACATCCTGCTCGTACAATCACCGAGCTGAGACAAAAGCTTCAAGAAATATGGGATTGTTTTACACCAATTTTTTTTCAAAACTTGGTTAACACTATGCCCCAAAGAATTTCAGCCATAATAAAAAATAAAGGTGATGTTACCCAATGGTAATCTTTCAATTGTTGCTTTGTTAACTTCGCGCATTTATTCGCGCATTGTTTATTTGTTCAGATGTTCTATTAGTTATAGGTCTAAGTGATTTCAAATACGTATTTTTTACGACTAGAGTGTATCTAAAATGTGTTTGAGAAAATAAATTGTTTTTGAAGTAAATAGTTTCGTCATGTTTAGTTTTAAAGGCATATTTTGGTACAGATCTTGAAGTGGGCCAACTGAACTGGGAAGGGGCTCGTAGTACAAAAGTATCAATGGGCCCAAAGTTTTTTCACGAGTATTTTCTGATACCGGGTGGGCCATTACGTTGAGCGGATTTTAAAAAATCGTAGAAAAAACTACAAAGCGTACGGGATATAATTTATATTTTTAATAAAGGAGACGCATGGGGATTTTGGTTTTTAAAAATAACATCATTGAGTTGTGAGCCTTCCAAACGTACGCACTCCTCGAATTCAAATTCATGAAAACTCGCTGGCACATCGCTCGTGGGATAGCAGACATGTTCTCGGAAAAATTGTGCTTGAGCTGAGCAATCGTCGTCGGTTTATTGGGGTAAACGCGGGTCTTGCGGTATCCCCAGAGAAAATATCCAGTGACGTGAGATATGGGCTCCGGGGAGGCAACAGAATGTCCCCTCAATATCAGTTCTCCATTAAAGATTTCGTTCAGAACTGTTAAACACTCATTGCCGGTGTGCAGTTGTGGGTAGAAAAAGTTACTTAACATTGCTATGTATCGATTAGAATTTACTGTTACAGTCGCCTTGCTCGTTTTCGAAGAAATAGGGTCCGATGATTCCTTCAGGCGACATGGCCGCTCAAACTGTAACATGTAGTATAAGTAACATGTTACCGGAAAAACAACATGGATTTAGGAACAAATGATCGACAACAACTAGCTTATGCTGTTTCATGAATTATCTGTCGTTTACTGTAGATCAGCAACAACAGGTCGACGTTATATTCACGGATTTCTCAAAGGCATTTTGCTTAAAAAAATGTATAAATTTAGGTTTTCTGGGGGCTTGTTGATGTTTTTCTGTTCCAATTTATCTGAACGCGTTCAATCTGCGCGGCTTAAAATCGGAATCATACACACCAACTACGGGAGTACCTCAAGGTACTAAGTTGGGCCCCTACTATTTTTGATTTTTGTTAATGATATTAACCATATAATAACAGTAGAAAACCAAATGTTTGCGGATGACTTAAAAATTTACTCAGTAATTCATGGACGAGAGAGCTTTGACCTTTTGCAGGAAAATTTAGACAACATTCTTGACTGGTGCCAGAATAATGATTTAATACTTAATCCCAGCAAGTGTAAAGTAATGTCCGTTACCAGAAAACAGTCTATCATACCATATGATTATATGCTGGACATTCACAAAATTGTCAGAGTACAGGAAGCAAAAGACCTAGGCATTACTATTACTGCGGATCTGTCATTTTTAACACACTTGAATCAAATAGATAAACCAGCTTCACGTATGCTTGGATTCATTATTAGAAATTGCAGATCTTTCACTAACATAGAACCATTAAAAATACTGTATTGCACTCTAGTTAGAAGCTTGCTTGAATATGGTTGTATCATCTGATCTCCTTTATATGTTACATATATATATATATATATATATATATATATCTAAGGTCGAGAAGATCCAAACTAAATTTTTAAAATATCTGTATTCAAAAGCATATGGTGCATATCCTCCATTTCACTCTTCAAAGAAGGACCTTTTAGAGCACTTTGGCATGGTCAGTCTTGGACACAGAAGATTTTTGTTAAGCTGCTGCTTTGTGCATAAGTTGCTAAGCAATCAGATTGACTGTAGTGAAATTTGGTGAACTTAAACTTTACTGTGCCTAGGTTCAATAGTAGGAACTACACCATGTTTTATCTTCCAAAAGCTTCAACAAATATTATGCTAGCATCCCCTTCATACAGAATGTTGAAATGCTTTGATGACGTTAGTCATCTCTTTGACTTTAATATAAGCGGGCATATACAGGGTGACTTTGAAGTTGAGTCATTAATTTTCAGATAATGATTGTAGAAGGAAGATAAACCAAAATATGTGTGTAAAAATAAAAAAAAAATTTACCTTGTTTTATAAAGTATCCTCCCGACAAGTATGTCAGTGCGGACCTGTATTTGATCGTGAGGTCTTGGAGCACCGGCATGCCGTCCCCTGTGAGGTCTTAAGTCACCTGATTCACGAGCCCGTTGTACTACATTAACAAAGGCACGAGGGGTTGGTTGCACTCGATTGGGAAACCGATCCGCATAAACATGTGCCATTTTTGATTTCGTTTGAGCCACGCAACAGACACCACTATTCACTCACGCGTTACCGACTGACACTGACTGTATACAACTGAATAAACTAATTGTAAAAACATCGTTCCAAATTCTTTCGCTTTTTTGTTTCCGATGCGATGAACCGATAAGGCGGATTATATCCGTTGTTGCCAAACACGAGCACACAATATTATTATTGAGACAGGGCGGTACTCAAACTTCCAAAGGGCTATAACTTTGTTACTTTAATTTTACCAGAAAAATGGTAAAGGAAAAAACATTTCTTTTGATTAGATCTACTCACTGTTAAAATAAATGAGTCAACTTCGAAGTCACCCTGTATATAAAAGAAAAATATTGTCATATTTAAAAACATTTCAGTGACGTAAACCATTTTCAGCTTTCCAGTACCTTTTAATCTTATTCTTTATATATTTTAGGAGTAGAATTAAATTTCAGAAATATATTAATTTGTATGGTGTTGCTACTGCACTGATGGGGCTTTGTGTTGGATTTCTGATACCCATACATAGGGTTTTTATAGTATCATCAATCCATGATATTACTTTTTGTATGTGTGTCTATTTGCTTTTCAACACTTGTATAGTGTTTCTCTGTAATTGGATCTTGTATCTGCTGATAAATATATGAATAAAATAAAATAACGCGAATGCAAAGGTCGTTGGTGTTTTAATTAGGGATTTTCTGCGGCCCAATACCGGTAATTTTGCTTGTTGAGAAATCTACTCAAATGAAAATGAACTTCATCAGAAAAGAGAATATTGTTCAAACTTGGAAAGAGCTCTAACATTGTTTCGGCAAATGCATGGCGTAGATGGTGGTCCTGCGGTTTCAATTCCTGCACTAGTTGAAATTTGTATGGGTGCAATTTAAGGTATTTTACTAAAATACATCTTACTTGATACGGCGTGCTCAGCTGATCTCTTCCGGGATGATAACTGTGG